CAGAGGTTTGAGGAGACCTGTATACACCTGTAATGCCAATGGACCGATGATTGACTTTTAGATTTATTTTAGTGACACAAATATCAGAATATTCCAGTTAATAATTCTGCATTTAGATTTGACCTGACCAAAATTACAACACCATCATTTCTGTTAATGTTACCATTGTTATAGTGGGTAGTGAAGCTATCTAGGTTAAATTGAGAAATAGATTGGAAACATTCAGTCAAAACTATTATATCACAATAATTAATTTTATAACTTTCTAGAAATACTAACAACTCATAAAAATTCTTTTTAATACTCCTAATATTGAAATGTAAGACATTTAGAAGTTTTTCATTTAAATTAATTTTATTTGTTATATTAGCAGCATCAACGACTTCATTAATCGAATCAATTTGAATAGAATTTAATAGATTATTTTCTTGATTAATAATCATGAACTATTTGAATGTGTGTTCACATATTAGTTACGTTATGTTATTGACCTGTATACCCGGTTTTATTTTGCAATATCATTTGATGATATTTCAAAGTGGGACAAGTTAAATCCAGTGCAGAATGGTTGTAGCCGTACTCAGTTTTATATTTTTCGTTAGAAGTTTTACAGTTCTTATAGTGTATTTTATTCTTTGGAATGCATTCTTACAGTTTTCTTTTTTATGGTAGAAACCTTGACATTTAAAATATCTGGGTATCTCCAAATCTTCATAAACCGGGAGTCTTTCCCATCCTATATATATTTTTTCCTTTGTATTAATTGTTTAAATGCAGTTCCTGAACATTTACAGTATACAGTATTGAAGCCTTTTTTCGTTTTTTTGATATATGTGGTTTTTATTTCACCTCTTATGTCATTCTGTTTCACAATAGACTTGTCAATTTCTTCCTTGGTCATATTCTCCGTAAAATTGTAGATTTTCATTCTGGGTCTTTGTCACATCTACATCATATGAATTTTTTAATTTATCTTGAACAGCTTTTTCCAGAATTTCAGCTTCGTTTTCTGTTTGACAGGAAAGTATAACGGAACCATTCTTTTCCATCTTTTATTGTTTCACTCCAACTTTTAAGTCAGTTAATTTTTAGAGGGTTAGGTTTATGTTCATTGTCTTCTTTTTGTAACTTCACCCTATCAGCATAAGAAATGGTAGGTACAATATTTATCTCTTTTTCTTCAAATTCTTTAATTTTCTCGTGAAGCATTTTTATTATTTAATTTTTACTATTTATTATTTTATCTTTACCTCTTATTATTTCATCCTTATCTTCATTAGTCTTCTTTAGAAAATCAGTCGGTTCATAATTCCTACATTTTGCACAATGAAATTTCAGAATTCTAGTGCGTAGTGGTACACACCTAATTTCTGTGGTTGATAATTCAGAACATTGGTTGCAGTATAATCTTCTGCATCCATCACATGTAGAGCATGGATATTTTTGTTCTTCTGTAGGCTGATGAATATTTTCACACTGAGCATTTCATTGCCATTTTTCTTATTAAATCATTTCCTTATTTTATAAACTAAATGTAAGTATCCCACTGGATATTTTATTGGTATGATTGCTAAGTAGAAAGTATTGATGTTTATTTTATTTCACCTACATTTTTTTGTCATCTGATAAGGTTTGGTACTTTTTTGCGTTTTTTGTTTCCTTGGTAGATTTTATTTCAGAAATAATGCATCAATCTATGCAACTGTGTCATGTGTTGGACAGATCAGATTTTTATTCATATCGCCCAATAAGAGGATTCAAACAACTCGAGAAAATGCTGTTCAAGCAACATCAACATCTTGTTTTCATTAATAATATTCAACGTAATATTTAGATACATGTAACACTTGAGATTAATCCAAACATAAGGCGTAAATACAAGAAAATTTGGCTAGCTTCGGGTGTGCTTAGTTGCAAGGTTTTTTACCATCTCCTTTTTATCTCACATTTTAAAAATCAGAAAAAAGAATCTACAAAGAACTAAGTTAATTTTTTAAAAGTTTATTCACAAACCTAGTCCGCTCCTGCCGGTTGTATTTCCAGCCACCTGTACTGCATTGACAATCGTTTAATTGCCGACGAGTTAGTCAAGACGCAGATTGTTTGGGAGTACATTAATTCAACACGATGACGAAAGCGGATATACAAAATTCTCTAATGGACAATGATTTGTATTTTCAAGACAGCTATAAGAAAGAAGAACTTCTTAAAATTTGACGTACGAAACAATTTAAAAAGTATACTCCATAGATGATAGTATTGCTAAATACCATACTGTATTAAGATTTTCCCCTTATTTTTTGTATTTTTAATAGGATATAAAACCACATACTTTAGTGGCGTTTATCTTATCGTTCATCAATTAAATTAAAATTTCTTCATTTTGCAGTATTGACGATTAATTTCAATTATTTTAATCTAGAACCGAGCGGCTGGCGAAAAAAAATACAAGATGTATAATTAACCAGTCAAGTGAGTAAAAATATTAACATGGAAAAATGTCAGTGGCATACTACTTTTTTTTGTAGAAAATATCAGATTACATGTTTGCAGAGACGCCACTGGTAGAGCAATAAAATACATTTTCCAACTAAAATATGTGATTTTATATCCTATTAACACATGCCAAAATTAAAAATTATATCTAAACTATTTTCAGAGATACTAAAAAATATCTCTGAAAAATCTAAATTTTCACGATTACAATGCTTTCCTTTTATCGAGGGAAGTAAAAATAAAATAAATATATGTCGGCGGCGCTGATGTTTAACTATTATTTTGTTTATTATTTTAAGAAGTTTGATTTATTGGTAGTCGGTATTTCAATAAGATAAGTTGTAAGCTTCTACTTGGTTTTTATAAGTGATGACTTAGCAAAAATGATACACACTTGCCATTCATAGTGAGGAGCAAGGTGAGCGGAACGGAGCCAGCAGGATGTTGATAGAAAATAAGAAATGAGAACAGAGATTAGAGAAGTGTGATCGATCGCGCGATGGTACGCTGGCTCCGGATCGCTAGTATCATATCTTTAATTGATTAATAATTGATATCGTATTGTTATCCGTATTTATTTAATAATTATTTGTGTAACGTCGTTTAAAGTGTTGTTAACATTGTTTATTGTCCTTAGTTTTTTTTTTATATGTTGCCGGCTGGCTTTAAAGTCACACTATATCTCTTGCTCCTACTATACCTGTAGTACACCAATAAGTATACACATATTTTACTAATGTACTCGCTTCGCTAGTTTCACACCATCGGCACTATCTGCGAATAGACCATAGGCGTACGCTAGGCCGGTTGTGTATAGCGTATGACATTATTTAAGGGAAACAGTTAAATTAATTAACGGACTTTATATTTTTTATGACTACGAAATTCAGACTCATCCGGGCCCCTCCAGGGCTAGCGCCCTAAGCGCCTCGCGGGTAAACCGGCGCCACTCTAACCACTTATCAGTGTTCTGTTCCTTGCTATTGTCTTCATCTCTTAATTTTTTTATTTCCTTACTCAGATTATTTCCTATTTTCTTACTTTCCTTCATCATCTTTTCTATCACTTTCGTTAATGTACTTTTCTTATTTTTCTATTATTTGTTTCTTTACATCACCATTATCGTTTGTTTTAAGATCATCCCTTGCTTTCTAAAATGTCCTCTTCTACATTTTTTTTGGAATTCTATCAAACTTTGACAATCAGCGTCACGATCTTTTTTTTATAAAAGTTCACACAACTGACTCAGTTAAAAGATTTGTTATCATAGATATTGTAACATGATCTTTAGTTATTCTTTCTACTTGTATAATGTGTTTGAGCTCAATTTATTGGGCGTGGGTTAGGTTATTAAATAACTCGAATAACTTTGAAAAAGAAGTTGGGCACCACTATATTTAAAGCTTACTTAACTTTAGATTAGTGATAAAAATATAGAAAATCACTAACCACTAACAAATTATATTTAAACCATGCTTTAGATAAGGTAGTAGCAAATTCTAATTCACATAGTTTTACTAAATTCAAATTTAAGATGATTTATTCAATAGCACTTATCTTTTATTAAAAGGAGGTAATATAAGAAGGAATGTTTTATCGCATGGTATATCATCAGGCAACTTCTTCAAAGGGATTTGGGATCCTTATTCGTAATTCTGCAATGTGAATGATCTCGTGATATTTGGTATTCTAACTTAAACTCGAAACGGTCTAGATCTTCTAGAGATGAATCAAACCACAGTCTTCAGATTGTACCAAAACCAAAACAAACTTCTAGGTATAAAAACCATAAAATATCTTGAGAGGAATTCAAAACCGTCTAGATATAGCCATGCTAAAAAAGGTTTAAAATGTTAAGACAGGAAATAGGAAATTGGAACAGGATTTAGATAAAATGCTTCAACTATTAAATGAACAATTTAAAACTATTAAATGAATATGAAGAGGAAAATTTTATTTAATATATTTAAACATAGTAAAGCATAATACCTTATTCTAAAAAAATAATATATAATCATGTGTGTTACTCATTGTTGATAGGATTTTAGATTATGTTCGGAACTTGACAATTAATTAAGAAATCCTTGTATAATATATATATATTTAACAATATATTAGTATTAAAACTTACCTTATAAAATCAGACGGACTTTACGATAGATTAAAATCATTTAGTACATCGGATGACCAAGATATTAAAATTAATGTGATCTATTTGATATATTTAAATCAAATGAAATACGAACTTTTGATACAAGGCATAAACGACAAATGACATTTGAGTAGAGGTAATTGTGTTGAAATAACGAATAACGGTTTCAACTGCTACAACATTTGGACTTCTTAACACTCCCCAACCATCAAAGATATGATCTCAAATCTTGCTAATACTGAATTACAATACCCTGTGTAGTACATAATAATTAGTTCTATTTTGAAAGTCTTAATTAAAAAATGTGCTTCTTTTAAATTATGGCAATTAGTTATTTATTTTCTTTTTTCAGACTGCTGCAATTGAAAGTGCACATTTCATTAAATCTGGAAAACTCGTTACCATGAGTGAACAAAACCTCCTTGATTGTGTTACAGAATGTAAAGGTTGTAAGAGTGGTTCGACGGATAAAGCCATGGAGTACGTTCGAGAACATGGCATAACGACAGAAGGAAATTACCCTTATAATGGAAAAGATGAGGAGTGTCAACTAAATGGAACGGAACCAGTAATAAAAATTAAAAATTATGTTTTTGTAAAAGTGAACGACGAAGAGGATTTAAGGCAAGCTGTTGCTAGACAACCAGTAGCTGTAACTTTAGACGCAAGAGGTTTTCATTTATATAAATCAGGTATAATTAATTTAAAAATAATTATTACTATAAACTTGGACATCGTTCACAAAATATCTAAGTACTCTGACTTGTTCTGTTTTGAATATTACTTTGCCTATGTGCTTCCAAAATAAAGAAAGAAAGGACGCTGGCCATATTTACGGAACAATTTGTATGTATAAATTTTTTAAATTCCTATGGACTAACACAAATTGTTAATGAACCAACTCATATAACCCCGCACAGCAAAACTCTCATCGACATTATATTTGTGTCAGATGTCCATCAAACAACATGTGTTGAGGTATTAGATGTCAGAGGCCGTGGCTTGTCATATCATCAAGCTGTTCTTTGCAACATAGAGTCAATCACTTTAGAAAAGAAAGCTAAGTATATAACCTATCGTGACTTTTCACGATTTGATATTAATCTTTTTAATGCTGAATTAGGTTCCATAAATTGGGACATAATTTACGAATTAAATTACGTTGAACATATGATTTCCCATCTGAATAATTCCTTAATCCAGCTTTTCTCTGTACATGCTCCTTTAGTAAGAAAAAAAGTTACGAAACCGCATACCCCTTGGATTACTTATAATATAAAAGTAATGATTTCGTTAAGAGACAAAGCTTTAAAAAAATATAAAAAAAATAAGACTGCAGTAAATTGGACTAGCTATACCGACCTAAGGAATTTTACTACTGGAGCAATTCGACGAGAAAAAAAGGCTTATTTAAACTTTATTCTTAGAGAAAAGAATTCCAAGACCACCTGGAACACTCTTAGATCCTTAGAAATTCTTAGAAAAAAAGCCAGTCCTATTATACCACCTAACTTAAGTAATGTTACTGAAATTAACAAACATTTTAATTCATCTCCTACTACTCTGAAGTCACATGACCAATTAGCCTTACTTGATCGGTACTATGAAAATATATATGAAAATAAATTCGAATTTAAATCTGTCTCTTCTGATATAGTTCGAAAATCTCTAAATCGTATAAAAAGTCATGCCGTTGGTTTAGATAACATATCACTGCGCATGATACAGTTAGTAGAAAATTATTTAATCAATCATTTAACATTTATTTTTAATAAAATAATTTCTTCGTCTCATTATCCACTTTCGTGGAAACGGGCCTTTATTATTCCGCTTGCTAAATGTAATCAACCTACTAGCTTATCTGACTTGCGTCCTATTAGTATTCTACCAACCCTTTCTAAATCGTTTGAATTTATACTTAAAGATCAAATTAGCAAATATGTATATGACCAAAATATAATAACTCCAGCTCAATCTGGCTTTAGAATGCACCATAGTACGACCACTGCCCTCTTATCTATCACGGATGACCTTTTTAAAGCGACAGACCTGGGAAAAGTCACATGTTTGGTTCTTCTTGATTATAGCAAAGCATTTGATACTTTAGATCATCCAACACTTTGCAAAAAACTGAAATTTTTCGGTTTTTCTCATAAATCCGTTCGTCTAATATCAAATTTTCTTAGCAATCGTACTCATAAAGTTATTTTGGAAGCTGATGTATCCAGCAGTCTACCCGTTAGTCAAGGTGTTCCGCAGGGATCCATTCTGGGACCATTGCTGTTTTCACTATATATAGCAGATTTTCATAGTTTTGTTAAAAATTGTGTGATCCATCATTATGCAGATGATACCCAGTTATATCACTCGTTTAATAATAAGTGCTTACTTACTGCCCAAAATCTTATTAACGACGATTTAAATGCATTACTTGATATTTCTACAGCTCACAACCTCAAAATAAATTCTAAAAAATCATCCATCATGTTATTTGGCCCCAAAAAATTAAGACAATTAACAATAAACGCATTACAAATTAAATTAGGCGATGCTCTTCTTCAATTCACGAATGAAGGAAAAAACTTAGGTCTCTGGTTAGATTCTGATCTTCGTTTTAGTAAACATACCTCCACCATATCTCAAAGTTCGTTCAACGTCTTGAGACAGTTGTACCCTAACCGAGACCTGCTTTCCACACAACTCAAACTTAAACTTTGTGAATCTCTCATTTTTTCCAAACTCAGTTATTGTGATTCCATCTACGGTCCAGCCCTACTCCAATCCGATTCCGCTCGTTTACAAAAAATCCAGAATAGCTGTCTACGTTTCGCCTATGGAATTCGAAAATTTGATCATATCTCGAATAAAATGAAAGAATCAGGTTGGTTGACTTTCAATAACTATCGCCTTTTGCATTTATTAACTCAAGTTCACAAAGTTTTACTCATACAGAAACCTGATTATTTAGTTAACAAATTAAAGACATTTTCCAATATTAATGAATTTCCTACGCGGAATCGAATGACCTTGGTGGTACCGAATCATAACACGGCTCTATTTAAAAGATGTTTTTCGTATGTTGCATGTAAAGAGTACAATAAACTTACAAATGAATTTAAATCATATAACTTGCTTAATTTCAAGAAACGCCTAAAAAATTCTTTGTTCAATAAGCAATGGTCATAAAAAAATATATTATATAATGCAACGAATTTGGTTTTGAAAATCTGTTTATTTTTTATACTTTTTTTTTCTCTATTATATTATATTATTATATTTCAATGTTATTTACAGGTTAAGTTGTAAATCAGCACAAGCTGAACTTCACCTTTTCATCTACCTTATACAGGGTTGGGCATAATTGGCGGAACACCCGATTTGTGGCTCAATTATGGATTGTATTGAAAATTAACCCAAAAAAAGTTTTTTGTATATTTTATGTACTATTTAATGACGCTTGGGGATTTTCATTATCTGTCATATTTATCAAGATATGACGTCATCGGATGAAATTTGAAATGAATCACCCTATATTTATATTTTTTTTCAGATAGATCTTTTCTTTCTGAATCCATTAATGTAAGGTTTGAGGGTCTCCGAGTTCATAACAAAATAGAAAGTAAACATTTATTTAATAAAAAATAATAATTATTATCAATCGAAGTATTACAAATCTCTCAAAGTAAGTGTTCGAAGTGAAAGCCTCCAACTGCCTGACAATATCCTAGTCTATCAACAAATGATCTTAAGGCATTTTGATAAACTTCAGGTGTTATTTCTTGAACAGCAATTCTTATTTTGTATTCCAATTCTTCCAGCGAATGTGGCAGGTCCTTATAAACTACTGATTTCAAATGGCCCCAAAGAAAAAAATCCAGTGGGGTTAAATCCGGTGACCGTGCCGGCCACTCAATATGTCCCCTTCGACCCACCCATCTCTGTGGAAATATTGTGTTCAGGTACTGCCTCACTCTAGCATCGAAATGAGGTGGAGCACCATCTTGCTGGAACCAAATTTCATCAGAAAGTTGTAAGTGATTTCTGTGATTTGGATATAAACGAACTAACTCTGGAACTATCTGCTCTTGAAGTAGTTGCAAATAACGATCACCGTTCAGAGTTCCTCTCATGAAGAATGGTCCAATAATTCTTCCTCTAACTATACCAGCCCAAACATTTAACTTTTGTGGATATTGGGTGTGACCTTCTTCCATCCAGTGAGGATTATGATCAGACCAATACCGGCAATTATGTTTATTTACAAATCCATTGAGACAAAATGTTGATTCGTCGGAAAAAACAATGCTGTTCATCAACATATTATTTACAATAATGGCATCCATCATTACCTGGCAGAATTGCATTCGCCTATCTGGGTCATCTTCATTCAATTCCTGGTGTAATTGCACTTTATAGGGATGAAATTTATTGACTTTCAGAATCCTCCTTACAGATCTCTCGCTCATATTATTGTCTAACGCAAGCTTTGGAACTGAAGTTTTTGGTTCTTCCTGTACACTTAGAACCACATTAAGTGCATTTTCTTCATCAGTGGCTGTCTTCTTCCGTCCAGATCTGGGATTATTTTTCACACTTCCTGTTTCATTAAACTTGCTCAAATTTCTGGATACTGTAGATTTAGAAATCGGGGAAATCCTGTCAGGAAATGTTTCATTGAACAAATTACAAGCTTCTTGCAGAGATCTCTTTCTGTCTCCAAACCCAATAATCATCAATAGTGTAATTCTTTCACGTTCACTCAGTTCAACCATGGTTTAAATTAATAAAAATTCTCAATAGTATCAAATGCTAAGAGTTATTTATTTTCGCGTATTGGGCTAGTTTGGGTGAAATGAATTGACTTGCAATTAAACTCAACTTGTTTGATTGTCTCCATAAACCAGAATGAATTAAAATCTACAGATTAATAAAAGGTGACAATAGTTTTTATAATATTATAAAAACCAAGTAAACAGTAACACAAAAACATTGGTAGGTATTTCTGTCAGAGATGTACAATAATCGTATTAATAAAACTCAGTGATTAATATCGAGATGTCAATATTACATTTTAATGTCAAAAAGTGAAACCATGGCAAAACAATTGATATTGGTACATTATGATGGCACAGACAACTTTGTGAATAGTTATTCATTAATTATTTAAAAGAACGTTTACCATTTTGTTTTATTATTTTCTGATGATAAGGAAAATCAGAGACCACCCGAACCCCATATTGATGGATTCAGAAAGAAAAGATCTATCTGAAAAAAAATATAAATATAGGGTGATTCATTTAAAATTTCATCCGATGACGTCATATCTTGATAAATATGACAGATAATGAAAATCCCCAAGCGTCATTAAATAGTACATAAAATATACAAAAAACATTATTTGGGTTAATTTTCAATACAATCCATAATTGAGCCACAAATCGGGTGTTCCGCCAATTATGCCCAACCCTGTATATGTATATATTTACACTTATACTAAAACTTGATGAATAAAGACGCTTTATTATTATTATTATTATTATTATTATTTATCCATCTGTTATTTTTTTAACAAAAATCTTTCTTAGAAATAGTTGGAAATTATTTTTAAGTTTCCAACTTCACCGCTAGAGAGCGTAATTTTCGTTATCAATGATAAAAACTTGTCCAAAAAAGCCTGCAGCCAACGACAACC